CCCCCAAGGATTGAGTAAAGGCCTTCACAACCAGTCGTGCCTTGAACGTATTCACTTTCCCATCCATGTCGATCTTTTTCTTGAAGATCCACTTGCACCCAACTATCTTTCAACCCAGTACATTGTCAACTAAGTTCCAAACTTGATTGTCATACACGGATTGAATCTCTCTGTCCATTTCCTCCTTCCATTTTTCATACTTCAGGCTTACCATGGCTTCCTTGTAGTTGTTAGGTTCATCCAAATTTATCAGTGTATTATCGCTGATAAACGTATTACCTTCAGCTGTTATATAGAAACCATACAACATAGGTGGAACACTAACTCTAATGGAACGTCTCAGAGGTAAGGACTCGTCAACTGGTTTAACAGAAATCTCTTCCTCAGGTTGAGTGCTAGTGTTATAGGTTCCTTCATCTCTTGATTCTTGAAGCTCTTCAAGATCAATTTGCCTCCCACTGTCCTCTTGGCATATGATTTCTCTCTCATGGAAAACCCTTTTCCTTGCTATGAAGACCACGTTGTCACTAGGTCTGTAGAAGAGGTATCCAAAAGACTTTTGTGGGTACCCGATGAAAATACACTGCTCACTGCAAGGTTCAATCTTGTCGTGAGTCTCTCGTCTTACAAAAGCCATGCAACCCCAAACCCTGATATGTGCCAACGAGGGAACCTTCCATGTCCACATCTCGTGAGGTGCTTTGGCAACCTTCTTAGCTGGGACTAGATTAAGGATATGGGTGGCAGTCTCTATGAAATACCCTTAAAATGAGATAAGTAAGTAAGCTTGACTCATCATGGAATGAATAATGTCCAACAAGGTTCGATTGCGCCTCTCAGCTACACCATTGAGTTGTGGTGTCCTAGGTGGCATCAATTGTAAAACAATTCCAGATTCCTTAAGATAGTAGTGGAAATCGATACTAAGATACTCACCACCCCACTCGTATTTGAGCATCTTTATCTTCCTACCCAATTTATTCTCCACTTCTTGCTTAAACTCTTTGAACTTTTCAAAGGTTTTCGACTTGTGCTTGATTAAGTAGATATATCCATATCTACTATATTCGTCGGTCAAATACATATAAAAGCGGTTAGCATCTCTTGTGGCGGATCTAAAGGTCCCACACACATCTATATGTATGATATCCAACAATCCCTCATATCTTTCACAAGTACTAGTGAAAGGTGATTTAGTCATCTTTCCAAGCAATCAAGATTCGCATTTGTCATCCGACTTTAGGTCAAACGACTCGAAGACTCCATCCTTTTGGAGTTGGGCTATGTGCTTCTTGTTGACCTATCCAAAACGACAATGCCACAAGCATCCCTTGTCTAAACCATTACACAAATTGATATGCAACACATTATTTAATAAGTTATCAACAACCATCACAGTTTCATATACATGATTACAAGGCAATGCTTCAAAATAAAATATACCATTATAGAAAGCATTAATAGAACCAACTTCATTATTAAATGAAAATCTAAAACCTTGTTTGTACAAACCCACTACTAAGCATTAAATAAAAATCCTGATCTTGGTGACAGACGATGATTTCCTATTCCCCATTATCAGGTTCATCTTCCCATGCTCCACATCCCTACTTTGTTTTAGCCCCTACAAATCAGAACAAATGTGAAAACCACATCCTATATCAAGGACCCAAGAGTTAGCATGTGATGAGTTATTAGATTGAATAGTGTAAATACCTGAAAGGTGGGTTTTATCTTCCCATCCTTGATATCTTGCAGATACTTTGGGAAGCTTCGTTTCCAATACCCTTTGTTATGACAGTAGAAGCACTCTGCTTCTTTTGGATCAAATGAAGGAGCGCAGAACCACCTTTTCCTTTGGATCCATTTGAAGAATACCCATAATGAGACTTTCCCTTGTGATTCTTAGATGGAGATTTCCTCTTCTTCCCCTTCCCATGTCCAATAGCCAGGACTGGGGCAGCAGCAATAGGAGTGGATGAGACAGATTTGCCTTTCAACCCACTTTCAGCAGTTCTCAACAACCCTTGAAGCTTGCTCAAGGTGACTTCATTCTTGTTCATATGATACGTCATCTTGAACTGATCATAACAAGGAGGTAAAGATTGGAGAATGATATCAATCACCAGCTCTTCATAGTTGACATTCAACTTGAGCAACCAATCCACATTCCTTTGCATCCTTTACAAATGGCTCGTGATGGACTCTCCATCTTTCATCTTGGTTGTGATTAACGAGGCAACAATCTCGTACCTTTCTTGATGCGCACTTTGATGGTACTTTTCCATCAAATCTTGGCACATCTCGTAAGACCAGTAATCCTCGTAGAACCTCTGCAGCTCAAGATTCATAGTGGTCACCATTATACACGACACCTTTGTCGTGTCTTTCTCGTGAGCCTTATACTCAGCTATTTGTTCAGGAGTAGATTTCGATTCATCGATCTCGTTGAGTTGTTTGTCGAGAACATATTCCTTCTCTTCGTAATGCAATGTCATTCGAATGTTGCGGATCCAATCATTGAAGTTGGACCCATCGAACATGACCCTTGCACATATGTTCATGAGAGAGAAGGAGCTTGAGGAGTTGGAGTTCGAGTCATAAGCGTTGTTAGAGCCAGACATCTAGAAAAGAAAAAGAACAAAGTTTAGATTAGATAAACAATCCTTAATATAACACCAAAATGAAATATTAAGGCTAGGACCCAACACAATAATTCACAATTTGGAAGAAGGGTGTCGTCATCCAATTGCAAATTATTTGAAGGTATGTAAATGACGATTTACCAATTCCACCATGAAAAACGAAATGGAGAAATAGGTTTTAAATGAAATAAAATTCCTAGATTCTTTTGAGATTCATTGGACTTTTCATTGGCATATTTAATCTCAATTATGCCCTTCAAGTTTTTGATTGGGATACCGAGGATCACAAACAAGGTGTGAATAACCATGCAAATTAGCTTGGTACTCTCGAGTCATTTACAACCTAATCAATGTGTCGGTTAACCACACACGCTCCATTGATCTATGATAATTCTTGAGCTACCCTTTCCCACCCTTGTTAGTCTAAGTTACTGTGTCAGTTAACCACACATGATCCACTAATGACTTGGCAAGGCGCAAAGTACAATTTCATGGAATAGCATCATTTTCACATTTTTCTAAAGTAACTAAGATTGGGAATTTATAAAAACATTTAGTTACTTTATAACTTTCATTATAGTTATTAATGAGGAATTAATGTTCTATCCTACCCGCTTGGCTAACGATCATTCACCAATCAAGGAAGCGGTGGGTGAGAGTGCACACTCATTCAACCGCCATTTTATAGGCAGTTTCCTTATACCGTCTTATAGATTGGCTATGTGAATGAGGCCTACTGACGGTAATACTTACTCATCTTATACATACATATAAATTAAGGTTTTAATATTATAATAGTATAAAGGTTGTATTTTAAACTTTTTAAAACACTAGGGTTTTAGAATTTAATATTCAAAATTAAAACCTTTTAATTAAATTTTAAATTCAAAAACTTGAGAGAAAATTTTGAGACTTTTCAAAACTTCAAGATTAAATTTTAAAATAATCAAATTAATCATATAATTTTATCCTTATCATGAAGTTTGACCTTTTCGTTTTATGTGGTAAGAAAATTCAAATCAAATTTTACAAATAATTAATTTATCACATAATCTTGTAATTATCTTAAAATTTTACAATTATCTTTCAATTAGATAAGTATTATCATTACCATAACAGAAAATTCGAATTTTAACAGTTAAAACAATTTAAAGTAATGATCCTAATCTAATTTTGGCTTAAAATCCGAAAAATATGCCATCTGACGAACCAACTCGTCGAGTCAGGGCATGGACTCATCGAGTTGGTCCAACTCGTCGAGTTCCTTCATAGGACTCGTCGAGTCCACCAGTCAGAGACCAAAAATGAAAATTTTCTAGATTTGAAAACATAACAATTGCATCATATAACACAAAAACACCCTAAACTCTGATACCACTGATGGGTTTTGAGCATTACAGCATTCCTATGGTGTACATGCAACCCTAATTGCTTTGGATCTAGGTTTTTCTCAAGTTATACATGCATAATGATTTTCCAAAGCAAAACCCTATTCTAGCATACATATTTTTGGAATCAATAATTAAACCAAGGTTAGAAGAATACCTTTTCCTTGTTGATTGGTTATTCTTGACCTTCAAGAGCTTAGCGCCTCAATTATTGCACCTCTAATGGAGTCACAAACACCAACTAGTAATGGATGAACCAGAGAGAGAGGATTAAGGCTCTAGAAATCGGCTAGGGTACTCTTATCAAGCATAGGGGCCGATTTTTGTAAGTCATGGGGTCCTTATATAGTTTTGCTGCTAGGGTTTTCGACTGAAACCCTAATTCTCTACTTAGGCCTTTTGCAAACTATGGAACCCTTCTATAAGTCCCCTTGGATGAGTTCTCTTATGGGCTTCCCATAGAATTCGTCCACCCCTTCTATTAGGAGTCCACAACCCAACTACAACTTTTACTGATTTACATAATCAGTTCATGTTCTTTTAATCAGTCTCTTTTGATCACTAAATTAATTCCAAATTAATTTTTTATCAATACTAATTAAATAATATGATTTCTCAATTAATATATTATTCATATAATATATTAATAAATCATTAAATAACCTCTTTCTCCAAAACTCATCCTATCATATTGTTGTGGTGAAGGCAACCCAAAAGGATCATGCTACTATCGGGTCAAGTACATCCCAATTATAGTTATGGGCTTAGACACCTAATCCAACATATATGGTTACTTCTTTATGCTTCCAAAAATCTCTCAAGCGATTACTCAAAAATTTTCAGCAATCTTCAAGTGTTCATCGTGTTTATTCTTGATCAATTAGAAATGACTTGCACTAGTGATCACATTTCATTCATAGATCAGACTGCATCAACTATTACTCTTACCGTGAAGCAAAATCAGAATATGATCTCTAATTTCAATGCTTCAAAGTATAAAATTGTTCAACTGTTGATTATATGTCTTAGTCATTTAATTTTGAAGAAGGAGTTTGTTCATCATGAAGACGTTCCTTTATCTGCTTTGGTATTGGCTTACTCCATGGCTACTTACAATAAATCATTGCATGTGATGAGTTTTGATATCGAAGGTCAAAAGATGGCAATTTCAAAAGGGAACTTTTACAAATTTTTAGGTTTTATTGTTGGTGAAGCATACTCAAATCCTAAATTAGTTTCGTCGGCTAATATGCTCCGGGTTTTGCACCAGATGGGATATATTCTAGTTTTGACTATATTATCACGATTTTGGGAAATCTTGTTTACCTATTTTATGGGATGTAATGTTTACCATATTTTTCAAGTGTTTTTTTAAAAGAAAGAGTGGATCGGATAATGCGAGCAAGTTGTTTCATATGTTGATGTATGCAATCTATATTGATGAGAAGATTGACCTCGGCCAAGTACTTTGGACTTGAGTCACTCAAAGTATTATTTCTACTATGAAAGATTCATAGATTTCAAGTGCCATATTTTCGTTGATAGTGGTGAAAAATGCTCGTGGTCATTAACGAGTTCTAGGGTTAAATGATGTTTGTTTGGCTTTTATTCGAAAGATAAATGTGGGGTTGTTTGTAACTACTAATGACATAGATTTTCATCAATTTGGTTCAATTATGGAGGTTATGCTTGATAAGGTACCTTCAAATAATGAAATCATCAAGATCTACAAGCTAATTCCAAAATTTGGTGAAAGGAGTGTTCCTTATTCATTACAAGTTATTCTTGATGTTGGAGTTGTACAACAGTGTTCCTTATTCATTACAAGTTATTCTCGATGTTGGAGCCGTACAACTAAGATATAGCGAAAAACGAAAAGAAAATATTATGGAAGAGGTTGTCTCAACGAAGCTAAAGACACAACGGAAGCCTAAGAAGATGGCAAAAGTTTATGTGATTGATGAGGATAAGGATGAGAATATTGTCAATGATAATCGTTTTGAAGATAATGTTTAAAATGATTATGATACTGCGAGTTCATCACAACAAAAGACAACAGAGAAACTAGTCACTTCTACGATACCTACTCCCATTGTGAATCTCAACTCTTTAGAGATTCTTCAGGATCATCCATTCCTACGACAACCATTGCTCCTTTCGCAACTCAAACTGAAACATACATTTTTAAAATTTTCTTAATCAACCCATCATTAACCTTTTTCAATCACAATCACATGTTTTTCCACTAATTCATACACCTCAAACCACTTTACCAATCTCAACCACTCTAATCTTTACTTATTCTACTGTTCCACCAACCATATCTCAAACACCAACCTCAACTATTAAAGCACTAACTATTATCAATGATATTCTTACTTCCGAGCCATTGTCAAATTATATAGTTCATGATAATAATACTTCATCATGTGGTGATGATGATGATTTTGTTGTGAAGGATGAAGAAGAGGGAAATAATTCATATGAAGTCTTTGTTGAACCTGTTCTAGCCTCAAACCTCATTGTGCGTGTTACTACTCCGAATATGGATGATGCTTTGAATAAGGTCAAGGATCTTAAAACTTTGATTATTTCTGATAACACAACTCACAATCAAAAGTTCATTGATGTGGTTAATAATTTTGTTACAAATTATGATACTGAATCCAAACTAGATGATATCATTGTGAGCAAGGATGCAAAGTTTACTTCGCTTAAGAAGGAGTTGATGATAGTACAGAACGAACTTGTTAAGAAAGATTATGAACAGCTACTTGTCAAGGGCAGAAATTTTGAAATTAATCAAAGGATTTTCAAGATAACTGAGCAGAAGGATTCTCCTTATGTTGATTATATTTTAAAGCTTTTAGGTGCGAAGCTTCAACCCTTATACTCCAAATTATCAGTTACTAAAGGTGTTCCGAGTAGTGGTGCTACTTCGCAATAGGGGGAGATAGAGATAGGGTGTAAATCAATATTGAGAATACTTACGTGGTTTTGAACATGCAAAAGAAACTTGAGATGGCGAAAAAGATGGTTATAAGTGATCGAACATTGAAAAAGAAATCAGAAGGAATTACAACTGAAATTCCAACTATTACTTCAGGATCTGGTATTGTAACGATAATGTCTAAGAAGGGTAAGAAAATATCATATAGTTTGTGAAATCTAGAAGGTCATAACAAGAATACATATCCAACAAGTGATAGACCAAGACCAACGAAGTTACCAACAAATGGCGTTAATAGAACTAAGAAAAATAGGTATTTACCAATTTAGATGCTTATTTCTTAGTAAGTATATCTTAATAACTATTTATTATGTACGGAAACTAGAATGGAAAATATAGGTGGCATAGAAAGTGGGGATACTGGAATCGAAACTAGAAATGACACTGGAATGCAAGGTGGGGATACATAAGTTACAATGGAATGGGTCTACACAAGTGACATTGGAGAGGAGAAATAGAGAAGTTCCATCATCTATCAAGAGGGAAAAAAAGATAAAGGGTCATCAAGAATAAATTGACAAAACAAGTTATGGAAAAGAATAGAAAAGGGAAAAGTTCAGATGAACCTTTTGATTTATGTTAGGGTGTGCCTAGGATGCATGGGGAGTAATATATTGGGGTAGTAATTAACAACTTTTTATTGTACTAAGAACATGTTGGCATGTCAACTTTTAAATTATTTTATTATCCTTAATATATGTAATCGTTTGTAATGGCAGTAAATTATGGAATATTCAATTTTCCTTTTTATTGTCTACTTCTACATGTGCATTAATACATAGTATGAAGTTGTCAAGTTTAGATTGTTTTGTGTCTCTTATATTTATGCTGGTGGATCAAACTATTTAAAAGCATGTTACATTTATACATCTTTTGACAAACACAATGAATGCATGTGGATTAGTAAATTATGTACATTGTAGACCACAAAGATGGATTAATAAATTATGTACATTATGGACCACAAAGAATAACAATTCATAAAGTAGTGGAATCTTAAACAAAATTCTATGTATATTCATTAGATATTGGAAGCATTCTTTACAAAATCTATAACAATTCCCTAAAATTGCATTGCCCACAACTGCATTCCTAAAAGTACAACACCCAAATGTATATTCCTAAAAGTACATCCCCCAAAAGTATATTACCCAAAAACTACATTCCCTACTAATCATCAATCCCAAAACCACCGAAGAAGCTTCTTAGAACCTATACAAACTTCATCAACAACAACTAAAACATCTTGAATACTCCAAAACAAGCAAAAGACAAACCGTGTCAATCATCATCTTCTTTTCATCTTTTTGTTCAGTGTTTCAACCTCAGTTAGCAATTCTTGGATACAAGCATCAGCCAACTCCCTTTCAATAATTCTAATACATTTGTGCTTCTCCACCTTCTTCTACAACCTAGTCACCTCAACAGTCCTACTCAATAAATCACGAATCTTCATTTTCATATTCCACATGGTATCCTTATAGTATTTAGGTGGAGGTGGGTCTATCCACTTGAAGAACTTACAGTTGTCATTTGATATATACAATAAATAAATAAAACAGAGTAGGATTTTTTTTTTTGGTGGGTGGGGTGGGGGGGGAGGGGGGATAAAGGAGGTTGCAAACGCAATGTAATTATCAATCGAATTATGGGTTAATAAACACAAATGTGAATATCAAAACATCATTACCTTTAACATACTAAACAATCAACCCCAAAATCAGGGTTTTTGTTCATAAATTAGGGGTTTTTTGAACTAAATGAAGGTTTTTTGTACAAAAATTATGACATTTTTTGGAAAAAATTCTTTTACAAATTGACCGTAAGATCTAAGTGTGTGGGAGTATGCTTACCATCGATTTTGAATAATTATAGAATCGAGATGGATTATCTACCATACATGATTCTCTTTGCTTTGACATCAGTTTATCTCGACATAAGAATGGTGATTCTCATTAACACAATAAATGGCAAGGGTGTTAGCTAATTCAAATGAGCTTGACATTCTTCGAAGCGTTCCTAAGAAGGAAACAAGGTTGTAAGACTTAATCTCTTCAACCCCTACATGGCATATTTATGAAGCTCTATAGACACACATTTGGACTCTTTCATAAACATAAGCAAAGACTTTTATTGACTGGTCCTGGTTAAAACATTACGAGTTACCTTTTTTAGAAAATTTCAACTTGAATAGGGTAAGAATTACCAAAAAAAATTAAGGACAATCAATAACCCTTTAAATTATTTTAAAAAATCAAATATAAAACAAAAATAAAACCAATAAAACATTAAAAAAATCAGTAAATTATTTTTATTTTTCTTTTTAAAAAAACATGTAACCAAATGAAAAACCCTACTATTTAAATTATTTATCCATAAATCATGAAAATACAATAAAAATAAAGTATAAAATAAATGGATGTTGAGTGATGGATGTGACGAGATGTGTGTGTATATATATATATATATATATATATATATATATATATATATATATATATATATATATATATATATATATATATATATATATATATATATATATATATATATATATATGTGTGTGTGTGTGTGTGAGAGAGAGAGAGAGAGAGAGAGAGATTAGATTTAATTTAATTGTTTGATTTAATTAATATTAGTGGGTACAATATAAAATTAAGCAATTTTATTAATTATTTGCCTTTATAAATTATATAAAAATTTTGGAATTGTGTAGATGCAACTTTGATAAGAAATTGATGATTCAAATTGATTTGACAAGTGAATGAAGCCAAACAGTGTGAGGGTTCTGTTATTGCTACAAACTCACTCTTCTCTGAATCCTAAACTGGTTACCATCTTTGTTTCTTTCTTCAAACTGATACTTTGTTTTAATGGCAGCCTGATATCATCAGAATATCTGCTATTCATCACCATCTTCCAGTTTACTTTAGTTTCACTCTCAGTAAATACTCTTATAACATCAACCCTACGTTATAACTAATAAATCATCACCGAAATTAATTTCAATAATCCAAAACCTTTATTTTTATACAAAATTTCACCAAAATACCAGAAGTAGCTTTTTTTTAATATATTAATCTAATTAAAAAATATATGCCATTCTATTTTACATGGCCATTGTATAATTAATAAAACTGAATTACTAGTAACTAGAATTTCAAGTTGTTTGTACTTTGTTGAAGTTGTGGCTACAAAGGCAGATTCCATCAAAATAGTGGTCAAACAAATTTGTATAATCCCCATAAGAATTTTTGGCATTTCTTAAAGTAAAAGATATTTAAGAGGGTAGCCAGATTCAGAAAAAGTAAAGTTAGTCGTTAAAATGGTATAATCTCGAAATTTCCTTACTCGTGGGTCAGGTTCCGGGTCATCCTACAACCGACCCGCCCGGTGTTCTTTTGTACTAATAGCATTTTTAGGGGAGAAAGAAATACGTCTTCGATTCCAACAACGTTATAGCCATCTAAGTCGCATGACCATTAAACGCGATTGCATTAATATATGAAAATTTGCTAAAAATGAAATTATTTTAGGATTTGATAATTCATAAACCATAACTATAACTTGTGATCTTTGAACAGCTCCACGTAGTGCACGGGATGCGTACCTTTGCATTACTAATCATTGGATTGATTCTGTAAATGATGAAGCGTATGATTATATTTGAATTATTTGGGTATCTGTATATCGAAGATAATTCATAGAAACTTTTTTATTACTAAGTTAAAACTTACAAATTAAAAATAATGTTTTGTATATCGTGTGTTTTAATGATTTAAATAATACATTCACAGTTGAACAACTAAAAATATAATATGAACCGATTTACGAAGATATTTTTTCCATAGTCGATGTCTTGTACACATTGGTACTTTGATTGTGAAAAACAAACTTAAATATATGAAGATATAAAATAAACTTTTAAGCAAATGTTGCTTGATATTTATAGCTCTAGTAACGGTCGATATTATAAATATACAAACTTTTGTATTGATGCGAATGCCATCTAGTTAGGTTTAAAATGGAACATACCTACTCAACGGAATTTGACTTGTAATATATTTGAATCAGAATCCGTTAGGTTTAAAAATCGGAATCCGTTTTTTCTGTAGCGGGATGATATCTCCAAAAAGAACAAAACTCGTCCTCATATCGGTGGAAGTGTGTCTTTGCTTGAAAGACTAATTTAACAGCATTAAAAAGATAATAAAATACTAAACCCCTTGAAGGCAAAATGGAGAAGATAAAACAAGAAATACACAATGAAGAAATAGCTTTGGGAATGTAAGCACTTGCTTATGAAAAAGAAGTACACAACAACCTTGACGATTACTATAAGTCTATAACTACAACCAAAACGACGACGAAGGATAATAAACGACCAAAAATACTAAGAAAACAATGACAACGATCGGTGTTTGCTTAAGATTAGAAATGCTTGGTTTTTTGTTTTTAAGCTTAAGCATGTATTACAATTTTTTTTTTTTTTTTTTTTTTTTGTAATTTGCACATTTATAAAAAGTTTAATACACGTTTGATTTTTTCAGCCGGTTCCAATAAATTTAGTTCATTGAAATCAGGTTTGGATCAGAACGGTTTAGACCCAAAATCCAATTTTTACTTCACTGACACAGTTCTAACTGTTTTTAAAACCTATTAAATTTCGGGAAAAACAAAATAACGATTTTGTGCACCTCTTACCTCTAGTAGAGATTGTATAAAAATTAAAAATAGGCTCAAATGGGGTTCAAGTCTTAACCAGTTATAACTTATTATTAGAGTAGTCCTAGACTCCCTTTAAGTGGGCCTACTTCCAAAATGGTGAAATCCATTATGGCTAAGGGGCTTAAACGAGCCTTTTTAGTTGTAAACGGTTGTATTCAAGATTTGTGGGGCCCCTTGATCTTCCCCTTAGTATTGGGTTGTAAATTTGTGACTGGTTGGTTAGGTTTTGGTGTTTTTATATGACATGATAAAGATAATTTTTATATAACATGAAATACAGCACATATAATGTTGTAATTTTTATATAACATGAGTAATGTTGTCTTTTGTGTTACTTAAACGAAAACGACATAATTAAAATACGATAAAGCCCAACAACAAACAAAAAAAATGATAAAAGTAAAATAGATTTTTAGTTTACGTAATTCATAATAAATCATATAAAGCATGATAAAGCGATAAACAATACAAACATATTTTAATATTATATCGAATATTGAACATGAATGCGACATAAGAGGATGTCATAGATTGTCACATTTAGGTTTGTTGTGTCCTTGTTGTACATGAATTTGCTTCAACTCACTTTCCTTATGGTGTAAGCAGGGCCGGTGCAGACGGTGGGTAACCCGGGCGACCGCTCAGAGCCCACAACTCAAGGGGACCCAAAATTGTTGGGCTATGTAGTATATATATAAAAAAAAATTATTACCAATATGATTTTTAAGATCTAAAGTTGGTTCAAACTCAAACTAGCTCAAAAAATAAACAATTTGGTTTGTTTGTTATTGCTAAATGAATGCGTTTATAGTGAAGAATAAATGATATTTTTTTGAATCTTTATTATATTTTTCTTTAAGGGACCCTTTTTTTATTTTCGACTCGGGCTCCATATACGTTTTGATCGACCCTGGGTGTACTAGCTTGCATTGTGTTTTTTATTGCGACTCTGCCATTTTAACCAATATAGATGTTCCCACATGAGGTGTGACAGCCATTCTCTTAGAAAACTTAAACAATATAGTTCGGGTGTAGACGAAGATCTTCCATGGAAGCCTTAAACCCGTAACACCAAATTGTTTTGATGTTATCTTTATACGAAATGTACCTACCTAATAAATAAAAATCATGTTAAGTGATATTTTTTAGAGTATGATTTTAATGATGTCACGTAACATCCTTAAAAATTTATTCCTATGCAATACTTTAATATATATATATATATATATATATATATATATATATATATATATATATATATATATATATATATATATATATATATAGGTTCATTTGAGACCACCTATATTTTGTGAGACATGGGGACCAAATCTTAGCATTTGATCAGATTTGATCTTGTGGCTCATAAAAAAAAAGGATTAACATTAATTAATCTAGCTGATTAGTTTATTAGGGGTAGATTAGTCACTAGGTTAAATTTAAGATATCAGGTTAGCTTAATTTTCACGTCATCCAGAAATCATCTCACATGTTCATGTGTTTCTACCAATTTATACGATGAAACAACATTCATTGTTCTTCAATTCAATTTGATCGATATTCTATCTCCAATCTTATATTCTTTCAACCGATAATCGATTTGATTTTTGACATTGATCGAACGATGCTAAATCAGAGCTTTTAAATTCACGATTTTTGTGTTATTCGAGTTCATGTTCTTGATTCTTCTTCATCTGCAATTGATAAGCTGAGTGATTTTGATCAATTTTAACTTTGTGATCATCGATTTCGGTAGAGGTTCAAGTGTTCAACGATTTCTTCTAATCCTCATCTTCAACAATTGTTTACGATCTTTCAAGCCGTGAATTTTACTCAACATCATGAAATTGTCAATTGATCAAGGTTTGAGTTTTCATCGATTTCAATGTTAGTTGCATATAACGTATTCAATTTTTAACCTAGTTCATGAATTGAATCATCAAGCTATTATCGATTTCTCCAATTTTATATTTGTATGATTTGTGATTTCAGAAATCAAACATCATCTTTTGTTGAGACATCCAATTCAGCAATCAAGGATCATTTGTTGTTGAATTTGTTTGAGCTAGAAAACAATTTAATCTATAATATGTTGTTTGACAATGCATCAGCTATTTCATTGTTTGTTTTTTAACTTTTCATTTAATCATTATGTTTTTCAGCAATATGTCATCTGTTTTCTTTTGATTAACATCTATTTGCTTTTCATTAACATCATCTTAGTGATAAGTTCATGATAAGTTCATGAGACTGCATGCTATTCTTATAGAATATTTTACATACATTGATATATCAATAATGATAACAGTTATGGATGATTTGGATATGCATGACATCGAAAACAATCATCTTGATGAAGAAAATCATCAGTTCGGTTATACTGATTCAGAGTTTCTTCATAACGAGGAAAATCAATCGGAAACCCAAGGTAATCATTGTTTTCATTGTTATTTGCATATAACATATTCAATTTTTAATGTAGTAACAATTATGTATGATTTAGATATGAATGACATCGGAAATGATCATTACGATGAAGAAAATCATCAATTCAGATCTGGTGATTCAGAGATTCTGGATAATGATGGAAATCAATTGGAAATCCAAGGTAATTCTGTTACTGATATCGGTTATTCTTTATAGAATGATGTTGGTGATAAGTTCATGTTACTGCATATTATGCTTATAGAATAATGCACATATAAGATTGTGGTTTTTTATGATTACATTCATATGAATGCAAATTATTATGATTATATGTTAACATGGTAGTATATTCTTTTTTATAGTTCAAAGTGACAATGTTGCAGCACAATATGGCTCTTGCAAACAATTCATTGGAGCTGATGGTTCTTTATTTTGGATTCCAGAGGTTGAACCTGGTTGGATACCTACTTTGGGTTCAATTTTTAAAGATATCAAAGATGCTATTAAGTGGTATAAAGGATATGCATTAAGATCTGGTTTTGATATTAGAAAATCAACAGAGAGGAAAAAGAGTGGAATCACAACTTCGAAATATTTTATATGCAATAGAGGGGGATTGCCAAACACTTCTACCTTAGACACAATTAGTGATGATCATAATAAGCAATTGAGAAATAGTAATTGTAAACGCACAAATTGCAAAGCTTTTGTTGCATTCAAAGCTATACCACATTCTTCAGAAGTTTACCTGTGGCGCTTTGAACAACAACACAACCACAAATTGATCAATCAAGATTGTATGCATCTTTCAAGAGCTAAACGTCAGTTGAATGTTGTTGATCAAGCTTTTATACATAAGCTTTCGAGTGCAAAGGTGGGGGCAACTACAGCATATAGACTAATGTGCGTTATAAAAGGAGGATGTGAATTTGCTGATGGAATAGAGATAGATTGGAAAATTTTTAAAAGGGATATAAATTGTCACATCGGGGGCACTGATGCAAATTTGTTGATTACAAAGCTTCAGAATCGTAAAGAGAATGTTACAAATTTTACATACGAATACAGATGTGACAAGAAGCAGTTAAATGCTCTCTTTTGGGCTGATGACACTTCAAAACAAAACTTTGAGTTATTTGGGGACGTTGTTTCGTTTGACGCAACATATCGTACAAACAGGTATTTATTCTAGAAATATAAACATTTTTAGTTATATATTCTAATGGTATTTTTTTGTGTTTTTTTAGGTATTGTATGGTATTTGTACCTTTTACTGGCATTGATAATCACAAAAGGTCACTTTTGGAGCTGGTTTGTTGTGTAGAGAAGATACAAATTCCTATATTTGGTTACTTCGGTCATTCTTGAAGTGTTTTGGAAAAGCACCAATCATGGTCGTAACCGATCAAGATCCAGCAAGGAAAAAAGCTATTGAGATAGTATTTCCACACACAAAACATAGATTTTGTATGTGGCATATCACAAGTAAACTTCCATTGAAAGTACTAACATTATTGTTATATTCTTATCAGAATATTAAATGAAATATTTTTTGTAATTAGGATAATAGATTAAATGAAATGCCTTTTTATACTATATTATATTCTAACAGAATAATATATGAATTGTTTTTGAAGGTAAGCTGGGAAACAATGAATGAATCAGATTTTAAGGCGGACTTCAATAGTATAGTATGGGACTCCAAAATTGATGTCAATGATTTTGAAATGAGATGGGATGCATTAATGGTAAAATATAAGTTGCAAGACAATAAATGGATGAAAGATATGTTTGATTTGAGAAGCAGTTGGATTCCAGCCTATTTTAAAGATGTACCGATGTCAGGTCTAATGAGAACAACTTCTCGGTCAGAAAGTGAGAATTCAGCATTCAATAGGGTATCGCATCATGGTTATACGTTAAACAATTTTATGAATGCTTTTGAGTCTGTTATGGAAAGGCAAAGGAATAATCAGATCAAATTTGATTTTGATACATCTACTATAATTCCAATCATCAAAACACCTCTTGAAGATATGGAGAAACATGCATCTATGGTATACACCAGGACTATTTTTCTCATGGTGCAGAGGGAGATTCTTCATTCACTTGTTTCTTGTTCACAGAAGAGTGTTACATCAGGCGTTGTTTCTGACATATGCATTGTAAACATAAAAGGACAAATATATCAAAGAAGAAGGTAGTAGTTGAGAAAAAAGAAAAAGTTGACATCGATTCTGAATGGAATTTTAACACAAGTGAAGGTGATTTTGAGGTAATGTTGACATTTTAGAATATACTTAATATTCTAATAATTTTGAAAAAATATTCTAATTTTTCTTTTTTGAATATGCTTATTATGCTAATACTTTTTGAAACAGGTTGAATTCAACAGAGAAGATCTAACGGTGAAATGTTCATGCATGCTTTTTGAGCGGTTTGGAATTTTTTGTAGACACATCTTCTGTATTCTAAAGATTTATGACATACAAGAGATTCCGTCAAGATACATTCTTAAGAGATGGAGAAGAGATATTATCCCCACCACAGTTTTGAAAAGGACGTTTAGATATAGTGATTCGTCTGGAAATGTTGAGAAGGTTGCATACAAAGCTTTTTCCATGCTTGATCAATGCCTGTCTTCATTAAGTAATGATGGCAAGAAGTTAGAAGAGTTCATGCAGAAGCTTGAAGTTTTTATGACTGATATTGGTGAACAAGGTTCAGACAAATTACCGGTTACAAAAGAAGCTCATATTGATAAACTTTACGGAGCTACTACGAATCCTGAAGTTGTTGATGTTGAAAATCCACCTATGGTGAAGAATAAAGGTTCTGGTACAGGAAAACGTTTAAAAAGTGCTTTGGAGAAGGCTACTATTCAAGGTAACAAGCAATCAAGATCATGCAAAACATGTGGGGTTAAAGGGCATAATTCAAGGAAATGTTTGACATTGTTGAATAACTCCAAGGTACAAAGTGCATAGTTGTGTCTAGAAATATATTTCGATTTTTTTGGTATTTCAATAAAGTTCAATAATACCATATAGATAAAAGTTTGAATTTTTTAGTTTGGATTTTTTTTCTATTGTTTTGGTTTGTGATGATGTATGAGACATTTGGGTTGTGATGATGTGTTATACATTTAGAACATATTGATTCTTCTAATATTTTCAATCTTTAATTTTTTGAAGTATATACGAATGATTGCAGTATAATGCTTTGTTATCAAAATATTATAATACAAGATTATGCATGTAAGAATGTTATATAGGTATATGCAACATCTAATATTATTCTAATAGAATACTGATGCCATTATACATTATTCTATTAGAATATTCTACTATGGTCATTAAGAAGTGATCATAATACCTACTATACATTAAGCATTAATCACCTAATAAACCATATCATTAAGAAGTGATCATAATACCTACTATACATTAAGCATTAATCACCTAATAAACCATATCAAGTTTCTTACATAATACTAGGCATCATTTTTTTTGTCTAATTTGTTCAAAATAATACAGATATTAGAAAAGGAATTGTTGTTAAGTCACCATAACCACATTTATAAAATTCCAAACTTCTATCAAATTCTATTACCCATTTCCAATTCATCCATCCTTTGGATACCTTCCTCTAACATCTTTTTTCTAGTCGCATGATCAAATTTTCCAAATTCGATTGCCTCTTTGATAACTCTATCCTTGTGGTTGTTGATTTCATGTGTAGCAATCTTAACAGCATATAAGGCACGTAATTTTACAAATTGAACATCTTGCACATCACTGCCTTTTTCCATTTCCACATTCCACTTTCCTTGCTTTTCTCCACAATATTTTTCCATATGTCTCATTAAAAGTGCTCCATTCTCTGTTGTCAACTCCTTTGTGTTCCAGTCAATTTTCATATCTTCACTGTTGTTGATCGCAAACCTTTGATTTTATTGATGATAAATGTAGTTTTCTCCAAATATCGTATAAAGTACAATTTCTGCAATGTATATTAACAAAATTACATTATTAAATATATTATATTGTAACTTTAATACAATTAATAAAAGTAAATGAAAACTTACTAATGATGTTGGTGTCATTCCATAAGTTTTTTCTAACGATTTTGTTTGTATGCTGTCTATAATATGAACTTGTGGATATGTTAGGTTAAAAACAACAGTATACATCTGATCACCGTTATGTATTGGGAAAACCACCTGCAATTCCAACAAATTCATCAAAAAGTTAACATAATTCCTATCTTTTAATAATGTAATATTTTAATTAATAAAATATTCTTACGAGTTTAAGATCATTGAAATCTACATTTGCCTTGAAATTAGATAGAAACTTATCAACACGAGTCTCAAAAGTTAAAAAACGCTCGTCAAAAGATTTAGTTTCATCTAACAACTCAGAACTTGTAAACATAGAAAAACAGAAAAATTAGAATATCTTGTTACAATTTACAACTAAAATATAGAAGTTCCAATTGTAAAAGAATTTACCATAATTTTGGTATTGAAGAACAGGCGGTATGGTTTACTTTTTGATTTTTGTTCCTCGTAATTTAGAACAGCAGCCCAAGAATCAATCACACGATGATGTATAACATGTTCAGGCCGCATGCTCTCAAAATCCTGTCTATGCATAATCTCTCTCGTATTTATTTCAAAAAGTACCTCCCTTAATTTTAAACATGAACAAAAAATATGTCATCAACATTAGAATAAATATACACATGTATTATACCAAGAGTTAGTGACTTACATTCTATTTTTCTCCTGTGCACATCTTATTAGAACCTGAATCAAAAGAACATTCTGCAAATCGATTCTATCAAATAAATTCACAGCTTTATCCATATATGGTGATTTGTAAGAACTTATATAATTCTCCCCTGTGTCACCATTTTGAGATTCAACCCTTTCATGTGATCCCTTTTTTTGTTTTCATTGTTTTGATTATCAGCACTTGAAAAAATAGGATCTGAAAATAACTTAATGAACTTCTCTTTCAATTCATTTGTTATATTGACATCTCGGAACTTTGATATACAATCAAAAACAATTCCATACATGTCCTCCTTTATTGATGAAACTTTATTGAACATCTTATCAAAGTTATCTTTATATTCTGAAAAATAATAAAATAATATAATTATGAGCATGTAATATTTTATCATCTCAGAATATCTAGAATATTTACTATGAACCATAAGCATGTAATATAAGAATATCCAGATTTTTATAAAATCATACTTTAACCTAATATAAAAAGACATTAGAATATTTTTATTACATTAAGTTACGATATAATTAAAATATATTCTAAAACATAATTTAATAATATATTCTACTTAGAATATACCTCAATACGCGTGTCCTCATTCTCATTCACCTGATTTTCATTCTTCTCAAATTCTAAATTTGAACTTTGTTCAATTAGATTCTCAACCCCAAATCCACCAGCTTCAATCTCAAAAGATTGTCTTTCCTTCAACTTATCTGTTGTCCACATCGTAACTAATGGTGTTTTACGTTCTATTTTTTGGAGCTTGCATTCAATTTTATCATAGTAAATTAGCTGCATTATTTCAACATCATATTAGATATCCATTTTTAAGAAAAAAAAAAATAAGTATATGAAAAAACATACCAATAACAACAACATCGGGCCTTTATAATAACACTTGGGGTTGTCTGGACGCCATCTCCCTTTTGAATTTTTCACACAGTACAACAAATATGCACACCAATCGATTTTAGAAATGTCATCTACTTCAACAAGTGCTCTAACTGGAACTAAGTTGTTTGTCCCCATAGGAATGGATTCTGCAAACGTATTAACGAATAAAGCTATGAAACCCAGCTTGAAATTCATATCCACTTGTTCGGATTTTTGAATAATCTTCTTGTATTTGTTGCATTTGCCTTTCCATCTTCAAGTTCCTTCATCCATCCATCAAACACTTGATGATCTTCACTAACCTTGTCCAAATCAAATAAGCTTTTTCCAGTTTTGGGTAAACCAAACACTTTATGAATTTTTTCCTTTGTGATCTTTATTCTTTTTCCTTTAATCAGAATACTGTTTGTGCCTTCATCATAATGATTAAGCACAAAATGGCAAAGTTTTAAGGGAATACTCTTAATGTTGATCTTCAAAAAGGCTTTAAATCCCATCCGTTTCACCCAATCTTTTTGTTCTGATGTCAAAGAACTTACAACATCTGTCATCAATCCAGGTGTCGATCTAGTGTTTATTGAAGGCAACTCCTTCAATATATCTTTCACAGTCTTTTGCTCTTTCACGGTTTTTTGTTTCTTTATTGCTGCACGATTGTCCCCACTATTCGTCTTCCGTTTTCCTTCTTTAATCTTTGTCACTACAAAGTAATATTCCAAACAGAATATTATACATATACACTTATATATCAGAATATTCTATGAAATTTAATCCAAAAATACTATATCATCTAAGTAAAATGTAGATATTTATTCAAAATATATTATTTATAAAAATTTAAACTCAAATGTTGCAAAATCCTATATCAGCTAAGTAAAACAACAAAAAAAA